TTGTGTTTTATTAGGAGACGCACAACAGTTCTTCTGTGGCTTTATAGCTAATATTTTCACCTACACAAATGAGCAAAATCAGACAATTTAGTGTCTAATATAAACCACAATATTAACTTCTTATTTTTGAATTGTTGTAAATAAATATCACATTTGGAACTGGTCAGTGCTCAAAAAATGCTGGGAAATCACTTCATGTAGCCCCAAGAGTGATTACTGATAAACTGCCTGAAAAAAAGAAATTTCAAATGTAGTGAAATTAGAGTCATAAGTTTCCAGAAAAAATAATACTCAAGTAAAGTACAGATACTCAAAAAGTGTACTTAAGTACAATACTCAAGTTAATGTACTTAGTTACTGTCCGCCTCTGGTCACATCAACTGTCCTTTTAATTACAATTTGAAAACTGAGGATACTAACTGTTAAAGTTTTGCATGCAAAATTTTTGTCCAATCTTGCTTGATACAAGACTTAAGCTGCTCATCAGTCATTTCATGATGGGTCATACATTTTCAATAGGAGACAGATCTGCTGGCCAATCAGTCACATCCACAGGTGTCAATGAAACCACACTGTTGTAACACATGCAGAATTAGACCTTGCATTGTCTTGATATAATAACCATGGACTTCCCATAAAAGATGTCAACTTGATTGCAGTATATGTCTCTGTACAATGCCAATATATGCATTTCGTAATGCAACGGCAGACTGTGGTAAATGACAGTGGTTTTCTGAAGTACTCCTGAACACGTGTGGATATGTTTAACACCACAGCATGATGGTTTTCTATGCAATGTCATCTGAGGGCTCAAAGGTCAAGCACATTCACTTGAGGTTTCCTGCCTTGCCCTACACAAACTGAGATTTCTCTGGATTTCCTGAATCTTTTCACAATATTATGTGCCTAAATTCTTTGTGATTCTGCATTGGGAAATGTTATTTTTGATTTGTTTGACACTTATCTCATGAAATTTGGCACAAAGTGAGATGCTCCTTTTATGCCCAAACATGATCCCCTCACCTTTTATCAATTCGCTTGCTTATTGTGGAATGTTTCAAAACTGTTTAACTTGGATATTCTATAACCTTTTAACTTTTCTTTTGGCTCTGTCCGTCCCATTTTTGTGTGTGTGTGTGTTGCAGCTATCAACATCAAAATTGGTTTATATTTACAAAATAAAATTTTTTTGTAGTGTGTTGCAGCTATCAACATCAAAATTGGTTTATATTTACAAAATACATTTTAAGCTGGGGCCCCTTTCAATAAGGAGATTCAACCAACTCTGAGTTAAAACTTGAACTCTGCGTTGACTTACCCTGAAGTGGAAAACTGAGTTTTCAGTTTCAGAACAGCTGGATTGTGTTAGTTCAATTCACTCTGAATAGGTCAACTCTGAGTTTAGCGCATGCACTACGGCTATGAGAAGTCATGATCAGTGGAGCTCCGAAATTATGATTCACTGGCAACAGCACCTGACAAAAAGTCGTCCGCATATTTCGAGTCAACACGTAAGTTTAATTCTCAATCACTCTTATAATATCAGAGGTGAAAACTGTAAATTATTAAACTAATATTCATTTTCATAGTATCACGTGGGAGAAAAGAAGAAGAACTTCGCAGCAGCTAAAAATTAAGTATAAAAACAATTCAATCAAGGTAAAGCTTTAAGCATAAAAGGTTCATGGGTGTTGGCTAAATGACTTTGCAAACATTTGACATATTAAATATAATTTAGTGTCTATTTCATTGCGCAGCAGCTTTTTCCACATAGTCTTAACACTCTTTTCACATAATTAAAAATTCTCTGTCAACCTTTCACATTTCTTAATTAGAGTAAAGTAATTAACACCTGACTTCAACAGCAAGAAGGCAGAGGCTCGCAAAATGGGGGGAGAACCTGCACCAGCACCACTGACAGATGAAGAGGAGATAGTCAAGTATTGGAAGAATTAAAAATTCTAAAGGAAAAAGAATAACTGTTGCTTTTGTATTTGTAGGAAATAAAGATGACCAAATAAATAGTGAATCATATGTGTATATTTAACACAAATGTTAAATTTGTGTTTGTTGTTTACGTGGTGTTTACGGGATATATCTTGTACTACCCTTCCATGGCATCCTTCCATCCAATCAAGTAATCCATTTCATTTTCAGAAGATGAGATGGTGAGAATATGTGTGTCATCAATGCATCCAACCATGGGAAAGAAAGAAAAAATTATAATTTAAGTGCAATTTTCTTATTTTGCTAATTATCTGCCAATGGGATAAGAAATTACAAATAATCTTGTTTCCGTTTGCATTAAAAAAATTTCTCTTACCCTATGTCAGACAATTGTACATGTTTTATGTAAAATGCGATTAAATCCACTTGTATCCCCCAGGAAACAAGACTAAATATATGTATATGTATATATATATATATATATATATATATATATATATATATATATACTGTATATATGTAGAAAGTTTAGTTTAGTTTATTTATAAAGCACATTTAAAAACAACAGGTGTTGAAGGCGAAGTGCTGTACAACACATATTAAACAAACTTAAGAACATAATCAAGAAAACAAAAGGACAAATCCTTTCACACCCTCAAATACATCTTGACTTAAGAATTTTTGATATTTGTACTTCAAATAAGACAAAAATACTCACTAAGAAAAGTCATTTTTATGTCAGCAAAGCCTCCCATAGGAAAGAGAAAACAAAAATGAAATCTCTTTAACATCTCAAATGTTTCTCCTAGACCAGGGGTAGGCAAGTTCGGTCCTAGAGAGTTCAGCTCCAACCCTGAAAACAAAACTCACCTGCCTATAGCCTTAGTAATCCTGAAGACATTGATTAGCTTGTTCAGGTGTGTTTGATTAGGGTTGGAGCTGAACTCTGCAGGACTGCGGCTCTCTAGGACCGAACTTGCCTACCCCTGTCCTAGACAGAAATTAGGTTACTTTAAGATCGAATGGAGATTTTTGCTTGAGTCTCCTGCTTCTCAAACTTGTCTCCTGAGACAAAAACTCTAACACTCTCACAATTGTCTCTTTAAAAGCTTTAAAAGAGATCTCAATAACATCACACACTGTGCTCAGATATTTCTCCTAGTCTAAAGACTTAGCTAGAGACTCTGGATCTCTCACATTTGTCTCCTTTAAAGCTTTTCCCAGGTAGCCAAAACGGTTTGGCCCGATAATGGCCCAGATCCGGCAGGCCGGATGAAATAACAGAGTCGGCATGGACATGGGATGAATGACGTCCCAGAATCGGCCCAAATACACTGGCCCAAGTCCAGCTGCCAAAACTGCCGGCATTGGGCCACAATCATGCCGGCAAGAATTGAAACACTTAGCCGGTACTGGCCCGAGTCTGGGTTCTGAAACTGAACCGACATCACCGGCATTGGGCCACAATCACGCCGATGAGAATTGAAAAACTTAGCCGGTACTGGCCCGAGTCTGGGTACTGAAACTGGGCCAACACCACCGGCATTGGGCCACAATCACACCAATGAGAAATTAAACACTTAGTGAAACTGGGCCAACACCACCGGCATTGGGCCACAATCACACCAACGAGTGGCCCAATGCTGGTGGTGTCGGCCCAGTTTCAGTAACCAGACTCGGGCCAGTACTGGCTAAGAGTACCATTTTGGTTAGTGTGATTTATATATATATATATACTTACTCATACAGAATTACAACTTCTAAAATATGTGTATTAAAGACTCCTTCCAGTTTTTATATAAAAACTTTGAGTTTGAATTATTCAAAAGCTTTTTCCATAAAATGACATTGTTACCTTAAAATTCTTAAGATGGCATCTACTTCCAACTAAAATAAAATACATATTTTACAGTGTCCTTGTTAAGTCTACATGTACTTATGCAGGTCAACTAAATATGTCATCTTTACAAAGATTAAGGGTTTGGCCCTTATACCATTTCTTGTCGTGGCATCCCCACCTGGTCTGGGTATGCATGCCCATATCTCAGCCAAAATCAGACCAGCACTTATGGTCCATAATCGGGCCGAATG